GTTTCCAAATGTAGCTATCTATATTAATAAAAAAGTAGTCTAAACTTATGATTTTGAAATAAAGCTCTAATACCACTTGTTGAAACTCATTCACTATGAATTAGGTTGTTAAACCTAAGCTTATGTCCCGGCGGCTAACCAAGAGGGGGGTGAATTGGTAATTAAAAATTAATCCCTCTTTTTAATTTTTAAACTGAAAAATAAACTTTAATGAATTTTGTAGAAATAAATTTTGCAACCACAAATTAAAAACATAAATCAATAAAATAAAAAGCAACAAAAAATAAAAGACAAAAGATTTATAGTGGTTCGGTCAAACATGACCTACATCCACTCTCCGGAGGCACCCTCCGAGTATTGCACTAATACCACTAGTTACTCTCCTTTAGCACCCACAGTAATACGGAGAAGCCTTTACAAAAACTCTTTCCACCACTACCAAGTGCGATTGAGAACCGTTGTCCTTTTACACTATCCCTAGTGTTGGCAAAGAACCATCGTCTTTTTACACTATCCCCAGTGTTGGCAGAAAATTGTCATCCTTTCACACTATCCCCAAGTATTGGCAGAGAATCATCATCTTTTTACACTATCCCCAGTGTTGGCAGAGAACCGTCATCCTTTTACACTATCCCCAATGTTGGTGGTGAATCGTCATCCTTTTACACTCTCCAAGTGTGGGCAGAGAACCCTTCTGCTGTTCACACTCTCTAAGTGTGAGGAGAGAACCCTTCGGCTGTTCACACTCTCCAAGTGTCGTCAAAAAACTGGATCTCCTTGACAGATCTTCTCACAAGAAATCTAGAATGAAGAAAAAAAAGAGTGAAGTAATCCCAAATCACAAGTAGAAATTCTTATCTTTGAATACCAAGTGAAGCCTTCACGCTCCAGTAGTAGGAATCCTCCTTCGTACACTCTCTCACACTCTCTCCTTGACTCTTCTTTCAATAGGCATAAAGATCAGTAGGCAAAAAGATTAAGTGGCAGTTTAGTTCAGACTATTTATAATAAAAACACAAAAAACCGTTCAAAAACTACAAATTTTTAAGTCAATACGCATTGAATCATCCAGTACGATTGTGGATCATCCTAGACGATTTTTCTTAAATGCGTTGGAAATGAACCTAATGTATATGGGTACGAAATGACTTCGTACACGCACATCATCCCGTACAAACTAGGTTCGTCCGATACGAACGGTTATTCCATAGGTCGGTTCCCAAAAATTGCAGAACGTCACTTAATTTTCAGAGTCGGTTCACTTCGACCTGGGACAAATTTAAGGTTCATCCAGACAAAATTTTTACAAAGAGGAATCGTCCCGGGACGAATACACTTTGTCCTGGATGATAGTACTCCAGAGTGCAACTTGTCCTGGAACGAATACACTTCGTCTGAATGAAAATTTTCCAGAGAATATTTCGTCCTGGGATGAATACACTTCATCCTGGACAATGAGGACTTAGAAAAAGTTTCTTCAATTCCTGTTCATTCCATTTCTCTTATGAGGACATAACTGACCTGATCGTCCCGTATGAACTATGTTCATCCCATACGATTAGTACAAATTTCTCAAGATCTCCTAAAGTGTGTGTGTATTCACTCAATTACAATCACTCCCTTTCAAACTTAATTCAAAGAAAAATACAAGTTTTAAAAACATAAAGTATCTCAAGCTGAATTTGATTTGAAGTCTTTGTAGTCTGGAGTTTGATTTTTCTGAAATATTAGTACACACAAGAGCAAAAATAACTCTTCCAAAAAGTGTTAGGAGACTATTACACATAAGAAAATAATATTTGAAATCATCAAAACTTTACAAGTTACAAGAATGTAAAACATGCAAAAAGCAACTCTCTTAACAACAACGTCGGGCAGAGTTCCAGCATCACTTGGAGATTGGGTGGAATTTTGGAGTCACTTGATCGTAAGGTTGAATTCTGGCATCACTAGGGTGTTGGGAATAATTCCAACGTAAGTCGGGTGTCGAGAAGAATTTTGATGTCACTCAGGCGTCGGGCAGAATTCCGGCATCACTTGGGCGTCAGGCAGAATTCCTGCGGTGGTCGTGGAGGAGTTTCTTTCCTCCAATCCTTCTCTTTTTATTCTCTTCTTCTTCTTTCTTGGGTCCCCTCTCATGAGAAATGAGGGGTCTATTTATAGATATTTTGGAGTGGCATGGCTTGTAAATAGGTGAGAGATCAGGGGTAAATAGGGAGTGGTCAGATGGATGGCCGATATTGAATCCATTGAACGTGACCGTTCATCAGACATTTGAATATCTTAGTGATGTCAAAATTTGGCGATCTATGGCTCATTGGATTTGTCTCGTCGGGCCGCTCGATTCGACTATAAGAACATCATATTTGGAAATAGTTTGGTAACTCAAATTATGGTTTGAACTTTCCAACAGCACTTCAGGTCCTTAATTTGGACTCATTTGGGCTCAGATTGAGTCGAATTTGGTGTCATTAGGTTTGTATGTTCGAGATGCTCAGTTTGACTATAAGTTTGCTGAAATCAGAGTTTAGGTGATCTCGAATTTAATTTTTGAAGTTTTCTGCTTGAATTTGCCTCGAGATTCATGCCCGATCAAGAAATTTTTTTGATGATATATCAACAGGGAAATCTTCTCCATCTAGTTATATTTTAATGACCAACCTTTATTATTACACACATTATCAACATAAATAAATAACAAAAATTAGCATTGTTATATGCAAATGCCTATAATCATTCACAATGCTTATCTTACCAAAGGATCGCATCTAAATGTCCAAATCCACATTCTTATTCACAGCGTACAAAATAAAATGAATATTATATTAACTGGTAGAAATAAGAATCCATTTAGTCAAAATTATCATAATAATCAATACTACAATATATGAAAAGTTATGCAGTAGAAGTTCACTAAAATAGGAAAAAATGAAATAAATATTGATTTAGAAGATAAAAAAAATTCAAAATCAAAATCATTAAAAACAGAGATACGATAGAAGTCATTTACAATGATCATAATAATTTTCACAATATGAGCATCCGACAGAAAAACCCTGTAGCCTTTTCTTTTCATCCCCCCTTCTCCTTCTTCACATCCTTTCCAGGGAGGCCAAATGAATGTGTGTGTGTGTGTGCGTGAGAGAGAGAGAGAGAGAGAAATGGTTGAGTAGAGAGAAATTTATACTAAAAAATATTTTTAGTGTATAGTGCCACAACTCTTCACCTTGGCGCCGCATGACTGCAAGCTAATTTTTGAGTTACCATAGAACATAGAGCATTAGCCACACTGCGTCAACTTCCAGCGCTCCAACACTACTCCTATAGAGCCGTTGCACTCAAAATCATAGCACTGCCACACCATAGTTGAAAAACTTAAGATTTTCCAAATAAATTCATTTAAGAACTCTGAGTTCTTGTACCTCTATGACATATCTACTATATTCCTTGAACTTTTGTCTCCCAATTATTCCCTTGGGCTTTCCCCTTTTCATAATTTTTTTTCTTTAATTAAAACCCATAGTGAGGCCTACGCATTAATTAAAGGTATATAGTACAAAGTCCTTGAAAGGACCTCACACTCACTACTGCTCATATGAGCTACAAAAATAAAAGACAAAAGACCTACGAGCACATAGTCCTTACTACACAAAAATACAAAACAACCTAGGTACATTCTACGGTGCTTAAGCACAAGCACCCAAAAATAGGGAAGAAAAGAAAAACGAGCTTGCACGATCTGCTTCCCAGCAAAAATCCTGTAATTTTTACTACATGCTCAAGAAACCAGCAAGAACAACACAAAGCCCACCAAACAGTAACACAAAGCAATATAATAGAAAAAATTAGATAAAATGTAAACCTAAGGATATAACCAGCAAACCGTTTTATGACAGTAGTAAGACGGCCTCCAGAGAATGAAGTACAAACTCCCATCAGAGAAGAGAGCAACCAAATTTCGAAAGGCAACGTATTGGGAATTCAGCCAACCAACCGAGTAATAATTCCAGCACCGATTCCCAGAGGAAATCCCCCACATCACCATGTTACAAACTAGAAAATGCCTACTCCACACAAGAACAAACTGCAGGTAATGATTATACAGAAAAACCACTCCAACCCCACCAGAATTAAGCCTCCCAGGCTCCAACTACATGTCCAACCTGCAACAAAGCTTAACATTAAACATCGCCCATCACATGCATAACACATAGAAACTAAGAGAGAACCTCAAAACTATCAAAACAAACCAGGCCAACGAGGAGTAGAACCATGCCCAGTAAGAAGAAACAACACAAAAACTAAGATAATGAAGCAAAACACCAACCCTCAATGAAGAAAAAAACCACAGCCACTAGAACATAACAAAACCACCCAAAATTAATGGCAGACATAAGGCAAATCAAATTGATCTAATCTAACAAGGCCCTGAACATGTACAGGCAGCTGAACAAGAGGGAGATCATTAAAACTATTAAGCATAGTACCCAACATAGCCGAAGCCTGCGCAACAGCATTCCCTTCTACCTTAATGAAAGAAAAGGAGTAAGAAAAAGAATTCAACACCTCTTTAATATTTCTCCGGATCTAAAACAGAGCAGGGGCACACATACTATCATCTTTATTAAGACACAATAGACTACCATAATAAGAGGCAGCTCCAAAACAATCTTCTTGAGAAAAATAGCTTTGCAAAGGTTTAACCCATAACACATGCAGAACTCTTTTTCATAGCGTTCTATTTATATATCTGACCTTAGTTAAAAATAAGATATCAAATTCTGTAATTACCTGCTGCTCTAAATGTTTAGAACATCAAGTATTTTAAAATATTTTTGATATAATTTTCTTTTAAAATTTAATTAAAATTAATCACAAATTTATACGTAATACCATATGTGATATGTCACACCTTAATTCAAAATCTGTTAATTAGCTGCATATAAAATATAACAATTAGGAACTTGTTCCCGTAAAGTGCTTTTCGTTAAGTGTGCCCAAACGCAACCGATGGGAATAATTGTCTAAGCTATGCGTGGAAAGAAACGGAGGATTTTTTCGTTGTTTAGAGAGAGAAAAGTTTCGGGCCCTTCTCACACCTTTGACAAATAGCAAAAGTCCAAGCGGAAAGGATAGCGGTTTCCAGTTTCTGGTTTCCTGTTTCCGCGGGATCCAATGCCCATTTGCTCACACCACTAAAGATATTACCATTCCTACCCCTGGTCGTATAAAGAAAGTTTCAAGCCCAGCTCCCTCTGCCTTCTGCAAAAAGTCAGCGCCGCACTTTGCCCCCTAAGCCGCCCATAAATTCTCCGGCGGAGTTACCAACAAAGTCAACGCCACGCCTCTGTTCCTCCATCTCTTCATCTCTGCGCCTTCTCTGCTTATCTTTTTTTTCTAGAACCATGTCGTCGTCTTGGTGGTTACCGGTGGAAGGCGATGAGGATGGCTGGGATTTGTACGCGGTGGTGCGAAGCTGCCGGCCGGCGAAATCCTCGGCCTCCGTGCCACCTCTTCCTCCATGGGAACCTCTCATACTTCAGTCAACGGAACCTCTGCTTCCGTCCCACCGCACAGATCTGATAGACTCGAGCAACGCTGTTCAAGAGCTGGAGGAGCTCTGTAAACCTTTCCTGCCCACAACCCAGCAGCCAAAATTCCAGCTTTCGCCCAGCTCTGCCTCGACGGCGACGGTGCCTCCGCGCTCACAGTTTCCCCGCACAAAAAGAAGGCGAGCCATAAGTAACCTTTAGTCTTTCTTCCTACCCTTTGCGATCAAAAAGTCATTTTTACTGACCTTCGCCGGAAAATCGCAGGAAGAATCAGCAGAAGCGAATGGTTTGCCAAGTTCTGGCCGATGGGCTCTCCGGCGACCTGTGGGCTTGGCGGAAGTACGGACAGAAGCCGATTAAGGGTTCTCCTTATCCAAGGTAATTACGCTTGACTTACTCTCTTTTTGGAGAAAAGTAAACAGGGGAGAAAGATTAATCTTTTATAAAACAGGGGATATTACCGTTGCAGCAGCTCTAAGGGGTGTTTAGCTCGGAAACAAGTTGAGCGGAGCAGAACTGATCAAGGAATGTTTGTGATAACTTACACTGGAGAGCACAACCATCCGCTTCCCACCCACCGGAACTCTCTGGCTGGAAGCACGCGGCAGAAATTTCCCTCCGCCGGAGGGGAGGGAGGTGGGGGGAATCTTCCGGAGCCGTCGACGTCCGCCGGAGAAGGAAGTGTTCGTCTTTCGCCGAACACGCCGCTTACGTCTGGCACGGAGGAGGATCTCTTTCGGCCACGGAAGAAGAAGAAGCAGGAAGGTAGCACCGACGAGGACGAGGAGGAGGAGGAGGCGGAGGTGGGGGAAGAGGAGGATGAACTGGATATGCTTTTGGTGGAGGACATGGAGCTTGTCGGAGAAGATGAGTTTCTGTTCATGGGATTTGAAGAGCTACAGGTCTCCTCCTCGCCGGCCGTCGATGAACTAAAGGTATCCTCGTCGCCGGCCGTCCATGAGCTCCTTTCCTGGGATGGTGAACCTCAGCAAACCGGAACGCCGCCGTGGCCTCCGGCGATGGCTGATTAGCTTAGAATTATACCGAATTTGTTATCACTGGTTCTATTGATGATGATTATTTTTTATTTTGTTATGCTATCCGATAATTGAAAATGATGTGAAGCTGATTATAATTAGCATAATAGTTAATTATGGTAATTAGTAAATAAAAATTGTCCTAAGCATGTAAATATCTCTAATTGGAGAGTTGAGAGCATGGTAAAAAACTAAAAATGAATAATTTTATTTATTTATTTATCATCTTTTTATTGAGAGTAACTGAACAGCTCAATTGGATTCTTATTATTGGTGCTCTTACTGCCCTTTTCCGTCCTGCCAATCACCACCGTCCAATTCACCTTCCCCTTTTCAGTTCAACTCTCAACTGAGCACCAATAATGGGCATTTCTACCTATCCTACCACTCCAAAAAGAAGCAAAAGAGAGAAATAAGCAAAAAAGAAGAGGAATTAGGTCTCAGTTTGGACGAATTTATTATTGTTTCTTGAAGCAGTTTTTTAGTATAAAATTTTTAATTTTTTAACTAAAAAATTGCTTCAAGAAACAGTAAAGAAGTTATTCCAAACGAAACCTTAATTTTTTTTTTTGTTGTAGACCAATTAAGCTGAATTTATAAACATATCATATATGTAGAATTAAAATTCAAGATCTCTTAGTTTATAGTCAAAGCTCTCAGCCAACAGACCAATATGAGCTGCTTGAAGAGGGTTTGCTATTTTCTATTTACCCTTTTATTTTCCTCAATTGTATGTTTTTATAAGCTTATAAGATATATTTAGACTAATTATTTAATAATTAATTATATAAATAACTAAGTATTTGTTTAAATTAGCCACTTATGAATGCTACATCCTCTCACTTATCTGATTGTGTGCTGGATCTTCGTACAACGCTAAGAAGTTAAACTATATATTTCTCTACCGCCGCGAATATTTCAGAACGCAACAATAATCATAATTTTATTTGATTATTATTTTTTTATTATCTCTATTGTTAAAAAAGTTTTGTGATTAGAAATTATTTTTTATAACTAAAATGACTAATGTTTTGTTTGGGAAGATTTTTTTATTGCTTCTTAATGCAATTTCTTGTATTATGAAGCTACTTTACGAAGCAGAAAAGCATAAATAATTTTGCTCATACTAATTTTATAATTAACTTTATAAAAAGTTATATTTGTCCCAAGCGAAGCATTAATCATAGCTTTAGTGCGTTACGTAGAGAGTTGTGGGCGTTTAATGCTCTGGACAATGAATGCGGTAGAGAAATTATTGAATTTTGATTTTATTTTAATTTTATATTTGAGAGTGGGCAAAACAAAAGGCACAAGAGAAGGCGTATTTCATGTTAAATCATGGGACTAGCCTTATACAAAGCTCTCGAGAGTTTTGTAAAACATACAAGTAATTACATACCAAATAATAAAAAAATAATTGAGTGAAATAACATGAATTATAAAACAAAACAAAAAAATTTTCTTTTTAGCTTTTGTATAGCAAAATATTTGCAATGATGTGTTAAAATGAAATTAACCTAGATAATACTAATTAGTCGATTTGATTCAATCAACGAATATTCATTTTAAGCTTAAGATGGACTCATCAAGTATACAATGAAGTCGCCCGAGCTGATGACTTTGACTTATCAAGTTTAACCATTTATTATTTTTAGACAAGTTGGTCATATCATTCATGTAAAAAAGATAACTTTTAATCTTCTTTTCTTAAATGAGGGCTTCTTTCTTCTTAAATTTTTTTTTTCCTGGAGATTTTGACTTAGTTTGCACGGGGGACCATGATTTTTCTTTGGTAAACTGTTTATTATTCAGCGATGGTCCCCTTGTTTTGTCCAAAAAGATATATAGGAGTTTGATTCAGCAATGGTCCCATTTGGTAAACCGTTTATGGATCAAAATCATTGGTTTGTCGCTGGTTTGTTGAACTCCTAAGGGAATTTCAAAAATAGCTAGTCTTATTGGAGTTCTAATTGTTGTGGATTCGTTAACAACAGGACAAAAGAGTCATGTTTGGTCACATTTGTGTTTTGACTAATAAAAATTCTCCTCTCCCTGATGAAATTAATATCTATATTGAGGGGACTATTATTTCTTTAAAGGTTGTTTATGACTGAAAATCAGAGCACTATTTGGGTTGTGGTTCTATCATGCATCTTTCAACTTTATGTCCCACAAAACACAACCTATTTCATGTCTCGATGAAACTCAAAGAGGTAGAAGTAGGAGTAGGATGGTTTGGAAAGCTTTGTCTAAATCTTTGCATTTTCATCCTTCTTCTAAATCTGCTACTCCTCCTTTGAAAGTTTTTGGTTCTTCTAAACCTGTTATTTCTCCTTTGAAGATTGTTGGTTCTACTTTACATTCTAATATATTTAAAAATTTAAAGACTCTTCTTTGGAACATAATTTTGTTAAGACTGCTATTGTGCAACCGAATTCTTTGGCTCATATGGCCTTAGATGTTACTTCTTATGGGGTTAAAATTGATATCCCTAATTTAAATTCTCATTCATAGGAGTTGCCTATAGATTCTTTAATTATTCCTTCTTCAAGGAAAGATGCTTTAGGTGCTAGTATTAATAATAACTTTAAGTTTTACAATCTAGTGATGTAGATTCTATAGATAAGAAACAAAAAGAAGTGTTTCATGCTTCTAGTAAGCCTTCTAATTTAAATCAAATTAGACTACCTGATCATTTTGGTAATTTACCTTTGGTTTCGAGTAAAGTCACTAGAGCTCAGAAGGCCTGCAAGGCTACCAATTCTTCTAGTAAGTTTTAATGTCTTTTCCTAATATTATTTCTTGGAATGTTAGAGGTTTTAATAGCTTAGATAAGGTTTCTGCTTGCAAAGATCTTATTCGTTAGTTTAATATTGATTTTCTATGTATTCATGAAGCTAAAATTAATGTTGTTAGTTTAAATGACCCTTGGTTTGTTGAAAGACAAAAGGTTTTTAAGGAAGAAGATAGTTATAAAAATTTTAATTTATTAGAAATAGGAAGGATTTAGTTTAAATGGAATACTTCTTGTATTTATTTAATCCTATTTTTTCTACTAGTCAATTTATTCATAGCTCTCTTTTGATTGACTCTTATTCTCCTATTTTTTATATCCGTTGTTTATGAGTCCACTTTGATTCTTGATAGATTAATATTGTGGAATGATCTTCTTAAGATTGCAGGTAGTAGTTCTTCTCCTTGGATTTTGTTGGGAGATTTTAATTGTTGATGATTTTTTAATGAAAAATCTGAGGGCAATATTATTCCTAAGAGTAAGTTATATGCTTTGAATAATTTTATCTTTAATATTGGTGTTCAAGATCTTTCCTCAGCTGTTTTTTTTTTTTTACTTGGTTTAATTACATAAGTGATGACCTATTCATATCAAACTTGATAGAGTTATTGTTGAAACTCGTTCAATATGAATTAGGATGTTAAGCCTAAGTGATTGTTCCAAGGCTAACCAAGAGGGGGTGAATTAGTAATTTAAAAATTATATTTCTACTCTTGGATTTTTAGAAAATCTTTTTAATTATTAATGAAATTTAAATTTAAAGTTTAAAAATAAACTTTTCAATCAGAGTAAAAACCTTGCAATTAAATTAAATGTGGAAGAAAAATAAGAAAGAACACGCCAGATTTATAGTGGTTCGGTCAAACCATGACCTACGTCCACTCCCCGGAGGCACCCTCCGAGTATTGCACTAATACCACAAAGTGACTCTCCTTTTGCCCCCAACGCAAGGTAGAGAAGCCT